TCTTTGAGGTTGTGAGTTTTTTTCACACAGAGCACACACGACAGACACGTGGGCTTCTTTATTCTTTATTTGCTCCTTTGGTCCACTTGGACATAAAGGAATAATGCGAAGTATAGGAATATCTTTTTTCGTGTTCCCATATTTACTTAAATATAAAAAACCATATCATTTACCTTGAGCATACGAAAAATGAAATATTAAGGGGTGATTGGAAGTCAATTATTTTGTTTTTTTTTTATTTTATTTTTTAATTTATCGGATAAAGTAAGTTATATTGAATGGACAACTTGAATGGATTGAGTAAGAAAAAAACCATGGTTGTGAAAACCGGACAGAACCGGCCGGTTCAACAGGAATCGGCCAAAGTTCCGGTCCGGTTAACATGTTTGAACCGTTGGGAGCAAGAACTGGGTTCAAACCTGGTGTAGGCCAGTATCTTGTATTATTATCATTAATATTATTATTATTAGCATTATTATTTAATAGGTATCTTAGAGAATATGTTAGAAATTTAATATTGTTATTTAATATTTTGTAAAAGATCTTGTCTTATTGGACAAATTAGGGATAGGTTTAGGAGTCTTATATAAAGGACTTCCTCTTGTTTATTTTATTGTGTTAATTATGAATTATTGAATGAAAAGATGATTTTATATCGTGTTCAAATGTTCTTGTGATTGCGATCTCATTAATATCGTCCCATTTGTACGCTTCCCTACATCAGCTGGTATCAGAAGTCAGCACGATTCAAGGTGCCGCTGCGGAAGGACGACATCTACGGGCGTAACGCCACCATTGAGTATCCAGGTCGACAAGCCATGGGCTTCGGTCATCAGATCAATCAATTGGAACGTCAGGTTGAAGATCTTTCAACGGAATTAATGAAGTGCGTCTTACGATCAACAACATGGTTGAGGATTTGCAGACGAACCGTGACGCCGGCAACCGGGGCGTGCGTGGGGGACTCCGCGAAGGACGTGGGGGCCGTGGTCAGGGGGCGCCCCGCCGGAGATCTCCACAACCACCGCCCGACGACGAAGACGGCGAGGAGACAATCTCGGGGGTGGATCCCTTCGGCAATTATCCACCCCCGCACGTTGAGGCTGACCCCTTCACTGCATACGACGACCGTGACATACGGTGACGGGGCTCGATCTTCGTGGACAGCGACAATCAACGCGATGACAGAGGCAAGCGCGAGGAGGCCGCTGTCGCCGGTGAATATCGTGCCCGACGCGATTGGAGTTTACTACCGTGGGTTCTACACCACAAGCTGGCATATTGGCTTCGAAGGCGAAGCCTTCCGAACCGGAGGAGAATGGTGTAGACTAGTATCTAGTATTATTATCATTAATATTATTATTATTAGCATTATTATTTATAGGTATCTTAGAGAATAAGTTAGGAGTTTAATATTATTATTTAATATTTAGTAAGAGATCTTGTCTTGTTGGACAAGTTAGGGATAGAGTGTTATATAAAGGACTCCCTCTTGTTTATTTTATTTGGTTGATTATGAATTATTGAATGAAAAGATGATTTGATATCATGTTCAGATGTTCTTGAGATTGCGATCTCATTAATATCGTCTCATTCATACGCTTCCCTACATCAAAAGTGTTCAAACTGGTTCACAACTGGTGAACCGGTACCGGTTCGGGCGGCCTAGTGGTTCTGAACTTTGGAAATTGAAAAATGAAAATTGTGGACTTTGGCAGGACAGTAAATTGAATTTAGTACCAACCCAATCCTTATTTCACTATCTTTAAGTTTTATTGCAAGCCAATTAAAAAAAAAAAGAATTAGAGATATAAAAATATATATATCAAACAAAAGAGAAGAGGAAGATTGAAACCGTCCTACTCGCCCAAATTCAGAAATCAAAAATCAATTTCAAAATATAATTTGGATTGTCTTGCTTTAGACATAAATTACTAATTTATTGTTTTAGTGAACTTAAATTAGTATTGCTTATGGTAACTATACTCAAAATATTGATTATTGAACGCTTATTTAGAAAAATTTCATTATATGCTATAAAATTAAGATAAATATATATATAATTATATATATACATATAAAATAAATAAATAAATTATATATTAATTAAAATTGTTCGACCAGTAGTCCGACCAGTGAATAATTAAACCGATAGCTTTACCGGTTTGATGACCAGTTCGATACCTCGAAAAAAACTCAATTCCAATTGACCCTAGGTGATTAGAATACGCGTGGCGGTGAACGAGAGGTGAGAATAAGGTTTGCAAAGCAAATAAAACAGTGTTATGCAAAGTTTTATGCAAAAAACACTATATTTATTTATGGATATCGATAGATGTAAACTTATTCAAAATTATATAGGGGGATAATCCAATGAGTCCACTCCTTAAAATGAGTCCACTCCTTAAAATATATATTAATTAAATAATAAAATAATTATTAGTTGACTCCGGCGTTGATCGTTGACTTCCGGCGTTGACCATTGACTTGCGACGTTGACATGTTGCCCTTGGTTTGCAATACGTATGAAGTAAATATGCATCCAGTACCATGCATTCAATATGAACTAAATATGCATGAGATATGAATTGCACATGCAGTCCTTATGAACTAAATATGCACCAATAATATCTACTAAGTATGCACATGTTATTAACTAAATGTGCATCTGTTATGAACTAAATATGCGTCATGAATGAAATAAATATGCAGCGAAAAATATGCAATAAAAATGTACATTTTATATAGGTAATTTATGATGCATATTTAGTTACTTTATTATGAATATTTAGGTAATTTATGATGCATATTTAGTTAATATGAAATGCATACTTGTTATATTTAAATTAAATATATAATGATGTTTACATAGTTAATTTATGATGCATATTTAGTTAATTTATGATACATATTTAGTTCTTACGAAATGCATATTTAGTTCATGAATAGTGCATACCTATTTTATTTGAGATCCAATCATAACAATTTATTTGTGTTATTAATCAATTTAAAATTAAAATTAATTATATAATAAAAATCATTAATTATTATATTTAATTTAATTGTATAAAATGTGAATTTATTGCATATTTTCGTTGCATATTTAGTTCATTCATGATGCATATTTAGGTAGTAAAATATGCATATTTAGTACATAAACAGTGCATACATAGTTGATATTATTGGTGCATATTTCATAAGGATAACATGTATAATTCATTTCTTATGCATATTTAGTTCATACTAAGTGCATAGTATTGTATGCATATTTACTTCATACACAATGCATACTAAGGGTCAACGGTCAATGTTGGAAGTCAACGTCGGAAGTCAACGGTCAACGCTGGAGTCAACGGTCAACGCCGAAGTCAATGGTCAATTGTCAAAATAATATTTAAATAATTAAAATAATAAAATAAAGAATTAAGTAATAAAAATAAAGAATTATTATTTAGTTGAAGAGTTAAATCTTGGTCGCACATAATGTACCAATCTAGTGGCTAGGAATGGGTCTCACATTCACACTTTAAATATGTGGACTCATTGGATCCGATCCCTATATATATATATATATAAATTTACAATTTCAATTGTTGTGAATCATAAATTATTGTCAAAGTTATATACTACTGTAATGCATAGAGTTTGATAAATAATGTATTGTAATTAAAAATCCAATCATAACAAGTTATAAGTGGTATTCCCAAAATAAAAAAAAAAATTAATAATATTGTAAAGAGAGAGAAGTAGACTTGTAACAACGGGCTTTAGCCCGCGGGCCGGCCCGCCCCGCACTGCCAAAAGAGGGGGCCGGGCTGAGTTATTTGAGGCCCGCTAGCGAGCGGGCCTAAACGGGCAAGCCCGCACGGGCCACGGGCTTTAGCGGGCCGCGGATTGGCCAACCTATTTTAAATAATATTATAATATACAATATATCTATTTATTATTCAATGCATGAGCCTACCACAAAACAAAAAAATAAACTTAAAAGGCTTAGGCTCAACCCTCAAGTCACTTTTCAGCCCAAACCAAAATTATTAGTTCAATACCACAGAGATATAAAGTGTCGCTTGTGTAATTCAGGGGTTTTCTTTGTATTTTTATTTACAAGCATGTGAGCATTTTTAATTTTTTTGTTTACAAGCAGGTGGTTTTGTTTTTTTGTTGATTTTGTAAGGTACTTAGTATTGTTTCAACGGACTGTGTGTGTTTGTTTACAAGCAGGTGTTTTTTTTTTTGTATTATTTATTTTTTTTTTAAATTTGGTGGGCCAGCTCGCCTAGCCCGCGGCTCGTGGCGGCGGTGGGCCGGGCTGGCCATTTAAAGGCCCGCCAGGATGGCGGGCTAGCCCGTCCCGCCCCGCCTTAAGGCGGGTTGTGGGCCAGCCCGCTCCGCCGGCCCGTTTTAACAAGTCTAGAGAGAAGTCAGAAGAATTATATACAACGAAAAGTTAGAGTGTGTTTTGTATATGAAAAAATTAAATTCATACTCAAAAATTAATTCAGGTTTAACTAAACTCCACTATTATCAATATTATCATTATAATTAAAGAATACCAATTTCTTTTATCCAAACTGTAAAGATCAATCAATTCATCAACTAGTCATTATTACATATCCCATTAACTTTGATTTACTATTCATCTACTAATATAATTTTACCTAACAACCGTTTAACAACATCTTTCTCTTACTTTTACATCAAATCAACTTTTATTATTTTATTTTAAATTTGATTTTAATATAAAATCAAAATTTCATTAACAACTAACCATTCAATTTTTTTCAAAAATAACTATGGTTAATTAAAAAAAACAAATTCAAAATTAACTTTGGTTAAAAAAAAAAAAACAACTCATTTCGAGTGAATATATTTTTATGAAAACACGCCGTGATTCATATTATTATTTTTTGTTTTACATATTATTGAATTTTAATTTAGTATAATGAAGTTATATCAACCGCACATGTTAGAATAGCGAGTTAGAAGTAATAATATACCTCCGGCTACATTATAAATGTGGTGGGTGATGACATTGAGTGAGCCGTCTGTTTTAGCAATGAATTGGGTGTACCAGTCCTTGTCGAAGAATCCTCCGGGTGCTATCACCACTGGTTTCATCATCCTAACATTCTTGTATAAATCTTGTATTAAATTGTGTAGAGCAATGGTATCATAGGCATACTCAACAACATCAATTCCTACTCCTATTGCATGGTTTCCACACAATTCGTTACCTGAAACACAACATAATACATATATATTTCATTCAGCTTTTCGAAAAACAGTAAAACGAACAAAAAAGGGAGGAAAAGTATGGAAAAATGCCTTTTGGATGATGCTACGGGCCCGTTACAGAATCATTCCGTCGAGCTTTGTAATCGTTAGATCATCATGTAATTGTCAACGATAGTTAATCTAACGGTTACAAATCTCGACGGAATGATTCCGTAACGTGACCGTAGCATCTTCCCTTTTGGAAGATTTATGACCAGTTTTCTTGTTTCTTTTCACTGTTTCTTCTCATTCGGCGTGTTATTCAAATAATAATGCAGAGAAAGTAAGAAAATGGGTTCTTTGTGGTAATGACTAATGATTCTGGCTTGACCTATCCACAAAAAGAAATCATTTTCTTTTTCTTCTTTGTTAATATGTCCGGCAAACATTATTATTACACTTGCATTATGAATTTCCTACTCTACTCTACCCACCTTTTGACTTATGACACACCGAAAATATTTCGTTTCTACCATTACTCTAGCCATCATTTGTCTCATGCGAATTTCATTGCCAAAAAACGCTCATTGTAGCAAAAATGTTTAAATATAGTTTGTGAAAAAAGGAAAACAAAAAAACAAAAAAAAACCTTGAAAAGTAGAGTTGTTGTGATATAAAAAGCAATATGAGTAATTAGGTATAAATATCATGAGTTGAAAAAACAATTATAAAAAGCTATGTAGTACTAGTAATTGAATTTCAATTAACAACTATAATAATTAAATTGAGAAGGGAACAAGTGAGAGATAAATGAATAATGAACATTTTATGAAAAAAATTCTTTAATGGGATGAGGTCATCGTCTCCAGAAATTTGGAGGTGCCAGAAAAGTTTTTTCTTTTAAAATTTTTCGAATTAAACTTGCGTGGTACCTAGGCATAGAAAAAAAAAATAATTAAATAAGAATATTAAATAAATAAATAAATAATTAAAAATTAATACAATTTTTCTTGTTTTTCTAGACATTTGAACTGATAAATCACATTTGTAATACAAATCTCTAATAAGTTACATCAAGTAGTCACGAGGACACCAATGAGAAGAAATAAAAACCATATCACTGCAAAATATATTTATTTCACACAACTTATTCTGACCGAACATCATAAGAAAACAAATGAAATATTTAAGGCTTCAAATTCTATCACAAAATACATATTTTGCCATTAGCTCATTCATTAAATAGTACCTATATTTGTGTAATGGACCAAATACATATTTAGTCATTAGTCCTTTCATTTGCGTAAATAACTCAAGCCCAACAAATACATAATATATAAAAAAAATTGATGCCCGAAATAAATGGAGACCCTAGGAGTAGGTCATATTTGTAAGTATTAATATGTCACTCAAGTTATTATCAACATGATCTTATTGGCTTCAATTTTCTAGTAAAATTGTGAAGTAAAACATAAGCAATAGTTATTAACTTCCCTATAAATTATACTAAAATTTAAATTACGTCAGTTTAATATTAATGATATTTCCCTTTTAAAAACTCTCATCACATTTTTGTATTTCATTTTTGTTTCTCCCACATAAAATTTCCAGACCATTTTGATCAGTAATGAATGAAAAACATGTCAATGAAAGAAATGATCAAATCACACCAAACCCCTTTTTTTTTTTAAGTGGAAAATGTTGATACGTACCAAGTTCCCAGCCATAGATATTGTAACCCTTTTCAACTGTGTATTGTATAAAAGATTCAGCATTCTTGTAATGCCAAAGACCGGTTGCCACATTGTTGTTTATTTTTTTCCCACGAAGAGCATTCAACCCGAAGATAACGACTGCACTAAGATTCGAACAAGAACAAGAATAAATGAGCTTGAAACCAATATAGTTGTACGTTGCATAATAGGTTTAGATTTACAAGTACAAATGAATGATATTTACCCAGATTTGGCGAATAACAAATTTAGCTCGTCCCATCTGCTCAGCGAAAGGCATCCTTCAGTGAAACCAAACATCTCCCCTTCAACTTTTCTGAAAGGAAAGCAATTTTTGTGGTTGTGTGTAGTCTGATAGAAGACTTTGTCTTGCAAAGTGCCTCCCAATCTGATCTTCAACGGTGAAAACACTGCACAATTTAAATTATTATTAGTTTTTTATCATCTACGTAGCCGAAATTAAAATATTTATTTCATGAACCAAGCCAGAATGTACACTACCTTTAACCGCGTTAAAGAAGATTGGGTTTTTGAGATCCTGCATTAATTAAGATGCAACAACAACCTTGGGTAGAAAAGTTAAAGGGGGGAGTTTACACACAAAGAGAAAAAATAATAAATGCATAAAAGAGAAAGGGAAGGAGAAAGAGAGAACCACACTAAGCAACGAAGCAGATCCCCAGCTACATTTTCCATAATCACACTTCTCTGGAGGCCACCAATCCAACGTGGCACATATGAAATCTTCATCTGTTGACGCAATTACACTCGCCTCATCTATCGTAACAACATTGTCCTCAGCAAAAGTAGAACTAAACCAGCAACACACAACATAAACCCACAGCCTCAATGAGAAAACATAGTAACCCATTGTATAGGTGTATATTCTTCTGTAATTTGGCCACTAAAAATTATTTCTGCAACATGTTCTACAAGGAAAATGACAAGAAATAATAATGGAGACGAATTTACAATTCTAGGTTAAATGAGAGTCTACATAATAGGTGTAAAAGGAAAAAGGGGTATAATTTACACATAGGCTCTAGCAAGTCAACATTCCAGAATTCATTAATAAAGGAAATAACTACTTTCACCTTGCTATGGATACAGTATAGATTTTTCCATACCATCAAATAATAAGCTAAATTTTCACCCTATAAAGTGCTAATTAAATTATATCATAAATTATGCGATAGAAAAAGAAGATAATTGATAAAGTGAGAAATATATATGTTAATTACTGACGAAGATAGTTGATAAAAAGCGAAATAGTTATGCAATCAACTATGCAAAAAATAGGCGAATATAATTGATAAAGCACGAAATAATAATGCGATAAACTATGCGGCACACCGAAGATAATTAATAAAGTGCAAAACATCAAGTATGTGACAGACACGCAAACATAATTGATAACATGCACAACAATTACATGATAACTATGCGACAGACAGATGAAAATAATTGTTAAAGTGGGAAATTAGTTAAGCGATAAACTATTCGAAAAAAAGGCGAACACAATTAATGAAGTGTGAAACAGTTATGCGATGGATAAACTAAGATAATTGACACGAAATAATATTATATTATAAATTACATTTTTTTACCTTATTTAAGTTTTACTAAATTTTATTTATATATTACATAAATAAATATATTAAATTATAATTATATATTCTACTGAAGTCTATAATACATTGTTTACTATATTAAAACTAATATATTTTACTATTTATTATTTAAGATTGAATATCGTAAATAATAAATAATAAAATTAATACAGTTATGCAATGGACAAACTAAAATAATTGACGCGAAATAATATTATGTTATAAATTAAATTTTTTACCTTATTTAATTTTTACTAAATTTTATTTATATATTAAATAAATACTTACTAAATAAATAAATATATTAAATTATAATTATATATTCTATTGAAGTCTATAATATATGTTTTATATGCATTATTTACTATATTAAAACTAATATATTTTACTATTTATTATTTAAGTAATGAATATGGTAAGTAATAAATAATACAACTAATACAGTTATGCGATGGACAAACTAAGATAATTGACTCAAAATAATATTATATTATAAATTACATTTTTTTACCTTATTTAATTTTTACTAAATTTTATTTATATATTAAATAAATATTTACTAAATAAATAAAAATATTAAATTATAATTATATATTCTACTAAAGTCTATAATATATGTTTTGTTATGTATTTTTTTTTCTTCCAACGTCAGAAGATTGCATAAATAGATGAAACACGAGCAAAGTTCGAAAGTACAACTACAATGGGAGATGCACTCAACGAGTGATCTAGAGAAAAAAAACAAAACAAACGTGAGAAAAAGAGGGGATACAACCACCGAGGCTTTCCCTCGATCATAAAACTACAAATAAAACCCAAGAAACACCACTAAACAAGCAAACTAAATAAAAAGTCCCTAAACTCAAGATCAATTATCTTTTGAGAGACACAAATTCTTGCCATTCTCTCCATGCCCCTCGAACCACCACTTCTTCCGGCATCCACACCTTCTCAAAGAGCCACAGTTTATGGGAGTGCCATAACCACCATAAAATATACGTAGATAATTGAATGCGGTCCTCGGCTATCTCGGTTTTCTCTAACTCACAGACCTGCCACCACCACATTTTAAAAGATGGTGCGCACGTTAGGTTCTCCTCCCATTCAATTGGTGCAATCTTCCAGTCCCGTTTAGCTCGGCTACAGGCTATTAGAAGATGCTCTATCGATTCAGGTTGCTCACCATACATCATACATATTGGATCAGTTTGGACTCCCTTCTTGGCCACATTCAAGCTCACAGGTAATGTCCTTGTAAAGCACTTCCATAAGAAGTGCTTGAGCTTACCTTTTACATTCAGCTTCCAAGTTCGACCTCTGGCTTTCTTATCATTCAGTGCAGACCCACTTCCCTCAGCCACATCCATGGTAAGCAATTATTGAAACAACAAGTCATTGTAAGAAGTAGCAACAGAGAATTTGCCATTGCCTTCAAAGGTCCAGCTCCATTTGTCATGTTGATCAGGTGCCAGGGATTTTATGTCCAAGATAGCATCTCTATCCGTGTCACTAAACAACTGATGAAGCAGATCCTCATTCCAAGCTTTACCATCCTACTTCATCAACTCATTGACCTAAATAGGAGTTCCACTTTCAGAGGCCAAAAGAGTTGGGCTTTTTGGTTCAATTTTGGCACCCAACTATTATCTTGGATCCTTGTGAGCTTACCGTCCTTTATCTATCTTCTAAGACCTTGAGCAAACACAGGTAGAACCTCCACCCATTTGTTCCAAAGCCATGAAGCTGATTGGCTCTTCTTCACCTCAAAGATTGTATTATCGGATAATACCTGGTTTTTTAAACTTTACTCACTAAGAGATTAGGCATGGTGGTAATTGTCCACAATTGTTTCAAAAGGAGAGCCTCATTGAATAGCCTATAGTCTTGGAATCCCAGCCCTCCACTACTTTTTGTTTATGCCAGACTACTCCATTTCTTCCAATGGATTCCACAATCAAAATTCTCCCCCTTACTCCACCAAAAGGCAGATGTGATCCTGCTAAGCTCCTCACAAATTCCCAAAGGCAATCTAAAACAAGACATGGAGAAAACTGGTAAAGCATTGATCACAGCCCTGATCAAAATCTCTTTACTTGTTGTGGATAAGAATCTGTTTTTCCAACTCACCATCCTCTTCTTCATTGCCTCAATGATATACTCAAATGTCTCTTTCTTGGATTTCCCAATACCTAGGGGAAGTCCAAGGTACCTGGTGGAGTTGTGTTGTTCAATTCTCTGAAGAAGGATATAAAGTGTTGAATTCATCTGGGGATGAGTATTTCTGCTGAAGAAAACTGTGGACATATTCATGTTTACTCTTTGCCCTGAGAATTTGTGATATAGGTGAAGAATGTTCCTCAGCACCCTAACTTGATGGAGGTCAGCTTTGCAGAATATTAGAGTATCATCTGCAAACAGCAGATGAGTGAGAGTTGGCCCACTCTTGGCAATTCTAAGCCCTTTAAATTCCCCATCGCTTATGCACCTCGTATAAGTGAAGAAAGAACCTCAGAGACAATAAGAAAAAGATAGGGGGAGATTAGATCACCCTGTCTTAGTCCTCTTGAAGGAGTAAGATATCCCTTGGGTTGCCCATTGATCAAAAATGAGAATGTTGGTGAAGAGATACAAGCATATATCCATTTAAAAAATGCAGTATCAATTCCCAGTTTCAGCATGGTTTTGTAAACACTTCCCCAGTCCACTCTATCATATGCTTTAAGCATGTCCAACTTCAGAGCCATGAAATAGTTCTTACTAGTTCTGTGTCTGTTCAAATAGTGGAAAGTCTCTTGAGTTATGACTACATTGTCTATGAGCTGTCTACCTGGGATTAAGGCTGACTGTGCTTGACTGATACAACAATCCAAACAAGTCTTCAATCTGTTGGCCAGAATCTTGGCAATTATCTTGTACACCACCCTACATAAGCTAATAGTCTGGAAACTGCTAATAGAAACAGGATTTATGCACTTGGGGATAAGAGCCACTATTGTATGATTCTAATACTTTAGAAGTTGCCCAGATTCATAGAAGCTGATCAATGCTTTGCAAAAGTCATCCTTCAAAAGTGGCCAGAAGTGCTGATAGAACAGAGCTGTCATCCCATCTTCCCCCGGTGCCTTAGAAGGGTTCATATAGAAAAGATATTTTTGAAATTCCATTTCTCCCACTTCTGCCTTAGGAATTCTGTTCATTGAAGGAGTAATAAGTGGCCTTATGTGTTGAAGAGCATCTTCTTCCTGCTAGGAGCTTTATGAAGTGAAAAGTTCATCATATAATTTAAGAATGTGCTCTCCAATTGCCCTCTCTGTTGTAAGTTCTCTGTTCCTATCAACCAGCCTGGTGATGGCATTCTGTTTCCTCCTTTGCGTAGCCATAGAATGAAAAGCTTTGGCGTTTTGGTGTCCTTCCTTCAGCCATAGCATCCTTGATTTTTGAAGCCAGAATTGTTCCTCAGAACTGTGTGCTTCATCTAACTCCTTCTGAAGCTTTTCCCATTCCATCCAATTTCTCTCCCCTCCTAACTTCCTCATCTCAGCAAGCTTCATGGTTAGGCTATCAATAGCAACTCTCTTATCTAAATTAAGAACATTATTCCACTGGATTAGAGAAGTCCTTTTCTTCTTAATAATTTTTTTCAAGATAAACATAGGAGTACCTTCTCCATGCCTAAGAGACTGTTTCCTTAACTCCTTCTCTTTGAATCCACCTCTTGTCAAAATGGAATCTCCTCATCTTGCTTTTGGCTTTCTGCCCATCTTCAATCATCAACAAGATGTGGTCTGAAGCACTCTTGAAAATATTCTGTACTCTGGCCTGGGGGTGCTTGCTCATCCACTGGTATGATGCAAAAGTCTTGTCAAGCACTTCTTCCACATATCCCTTTTCCTCTCTGTTATTGCCCATGTGAACTTGTGACACTCTATCTGCACCAGACACATCCCCGTCTGGGCAATAAAATCATTAAACCCCTGAAAGCTTCTTGCAGTTCTTGTTCTGCCACCCTTTTTCTCCTCTTGGCAGCTTATATCATTCTAATCCCCAGATATCATCCAACATTCTCCCCACTTTCTTTTCTCCTCCACCAAAAACTGCCACTGCAATGCCCTCTCCTGTTTAATAGTGCTGATGTATAAAAATATAGCCCATTCTGCCTGCAGAGAGCCCTTAGCTTTGAATTGAACTTGTATACTAAAGTCATTTCTATTTAATGATATTATATCTATGTCTCTGTCCCAACACAACAGTAAGCCTCTTC